AGAACCACAGTAATTAGAGGCAGAACTTGGATAGAAACCAAACACTTTTATCCCTATGCACGTGCCACTACATGCTGCCTTCCTCCTGCAGTTTAGAATATGGGGTACCTTCCCACTCGCCCACCTCCAGCTTGGTGACTGTGGAAATGGACATGTGCTTAATGTATGAATGAAGTTGCAAATTAAAAGTCTGTAGGTGCTGATAAGAGAGCTTTGGGGGTTGCTGGTGTTCCAGGAAGAGCTGGTTGAGGAGAGGGCACTGTAGCTCAACCCCAAAGAGGATGGAAGATCTGATCTACAGATCTACAGAGGAAGAAGAGAACAGAGATTCCAAGGAACAGCCTGAACAAAAGCTTTGTGTTTTCAGAGACCTGCTTGGTTGGCAGAGGACTCATGGAAGGGAGAAATGGGAGACAAGGAGGCTGGTTATTCTGAGCTTTGCATGCCAGACATGAGGGACAGATGGAGGCAAAAGGAGCAGTTGCTGGAAATAATCTAGATTTAAAATGTGATCCTAGGCAATAGTAGAGACCAAGAAGGAAAGGAAAATTTCATGTGACAAGATGTAGGGCATTTCAGTGTCTGAATATGCCTTTTGGTAAATAGGCAGATGCTGAGGGAGGCAGTTAAGATGGGGATGAGGAGCTGTCTTTGGGAAGTGGAATGATGCAGTTCAACATTGGGGTCAGGGGAGGTGCAAGGCTACAGGCCTTGAATGCAGCTGATTTGCAACCTATTAATTTCCTGAGCAGACTATTTTCACCCCATTGATTTTCTCCGTTGATTAGGCTGTGTTTTCTTGTTGGTTAGAGGTCACTTTTTCCCCTTCAGATTCATTTTTGGCCTCCTACTACTTCCTCTTGTTAGTGTGTGCTAACATGACTGTCAGCTATTGATCAAATGTGACATTTCCATCTGATAGTTCTATGATTTGGTGTCAAAGTTGAGGGGGCCATCAAGAAAGAGTTTGGAGGCCATCAAAAGAGTGTGGGGTTAAGATCAGCCATCTGAAAAGTGTGTCACTCTGCTTAGCATAGCAAGATTAGGATAAAAGAAAACTACTGTCAACACATGTTAGATGCTTGCTTGAACTATAAAAGGTAGGTTGGAAAGTGACTAGAGTTTTATCTGCTCACACTCCCCCATCTCAACTGGGCCAAGTTTATAGAACACAGCCTTGAAATAACCCTGGGAAAATTCTTTCATTATTCTAGGCTCAATTTCCTTTCCTCTTCCTCAAAGCTAAAAGTTAGTGTTGATGCATGATGGTTTCATAGACAAAAGTCAGGATTTATGGACAGAAGACTTAGAATTTTAGCTTCAGCTGCATGCTTACCAAGTCTCTTGTCCTATGTGTATTCCTTATTTGTAAAGTAAGAATGCTGATATCTCCTCAGCCTACTTCACTGGGTGAGCTAATGTGTCTGGCAATGCCTGCTATACTTTTAAAGCCCATCAACCTATCACAGGACTGCCCTGAAGAAATCCCACTCCCCCAGCAACTCACGGGGGTTGGTGACCCAGGGGAAGCCAGGCTCAACTTGTGTCAGTGGAAAAGGACAAACACTGTCCTCAACCAACAGCCATGAAATAAAAAGGTTGAAGCAAAAGGCTGGCCTGGTACAAGAAACCTTATACAGTATTTCCTTGTTTTATTTAGAAAGCTTATTGCTGAATGCTAAGTAAAATAAAGTGATTTGCATCTTTACTGATGTGTTAAAATTGCTGCAACACCTCATGCTACCAAATAGATTTACTGTAAAAATTGGAACATAATTGGTACTTCAGGCAGGCCACAAATCTACTTTGGAAGAAGCGTATCACTCACAGTACATTGATTATAAAAATTAGTTAATTCAAGACAAACATTGCATTCTCTAATTCCTGGCGCAAATCCCTCCAAATCTTCCATGCATTACTGCTATAGAGCTAAGATTGATATCCATCAGGTCACTTGACTCTATGCAAGCCTGATTTAGATGGTACTTATGCTAGTGCATCCACCAAGAGGAGATAGATCTCATTTGTTACTTCTGTCAGGTGGGAGCCTAAATGAGGGGATTTAGTAATATTGCACTAATCTGTTGCTTTTATTTACTGCTTCTTGTCTTGCTGGTGTAAATCTTCTCATGGAAGAGTGTCTACTAATTCATTCAGTTTGACTTTCCTCATGAGAAACAGGAGAGAGATACAACCTCATGGCAACAAGCATTTTTTAAGCATCTCTGTGTAGTGGAAAATATTGGAACCCCACCCAGGGAGTGCGCATTTGTGTGTGTGTGTGTGTGTGTGTGTGTGTGTGTGTGTGTGTGTGTTGGGGAGCACTGGGGCTGCAGCAATCAGAGCTTTGGTGTTCTTTCACCCCCAACAACCAGTGCCTGGAGCTCTTTGTTGGGGAACTGCCCTCAGCTACTTCTTTCAGGCTACTGGAACCTACTTTGCCACCCAGAGCCAGAAGTGTCTGAGTATTTATGTTTCCTATAAGTAACCCTTAACCAATGACCAATGGGCTCAAGAGTGTGAAAGCACAGTTCCTTTCACTCAAATGAGCCATCCTGCAGGGGCAAGCTGAAGCCATTATCTCTGAACTTAACCTAAAATTGCAGCTTTGCACGTGGCTTCTTCCCTTTCCATGCTCTTCCCATACCCTTAGTTGGTCGCCTTGAAGACACTTCTTAAAAAGTCATGTATCTATAAATCTTTTCTCAAGGTTGGCTTCTAGGGGATGTGATCTGAGACACTCTGAGGGCTAGATATAGGCTGGCACTTTACATTTATTGTCTACTAACTCATAGATGAACTCTATATGTTAAGTTCATGTCCATTGCCTCATTAACCTTTCTAATGAACCTTATGGGTTAAGTATTATCACCCTCATTTTATACATGCTGATATGAAAACTGAAGAGGATAGGGGACCTCCAAACTAGGGTTCCAATTATCTATTGCTACATAGAATACTATCCCAAGTTAGTGGCTTGAAGCAACAACATATATTTTATCCAACATTTGCAACTTGGGCAGGACTTGGTGGGGCCCATTTGTTTAAGTGTCAGTCAGAGCATCTCCCCTGGGATTGGATGATCTGCTTCCACTGGGCTCACTCCATGGCTGGCAAGTGGCTGCCTCGCTCCTGGTTTCATTTTGTGTGGGCTCTGTATGTGGTGACTTTTGCTTCTTCATAGCACTGTGGCTGGGACTAAGCATTTAATGAGAGAGGAGGAAGAAGATGGCATTCCTCAAGGCCTGATCCTGGACACTGGAATAGTGTCACTTCTGCTGTATTCTATTGATAAAGCAACCCCAGGATCCAGAATATAGGTTTACCTCTCAATAGGAAGAGTGTTGAAGAATTTTGGGACTATATTTTTATTTATTTCAAAAACTGCACATAGGTAATATATACCATTTTATAAATTAGATATATGTATACACCTAGGAAATCACTGCTCCCTTCAAAATGGTAAAAATATCCATTGCCTCCAAAATTTTCTTGTGACCCTTTATGTTCCCCCCCACTGTGAGAATTCTTAACATGAACTGTACTCTTAACAAAAAATTAAAGTGAACAGTACAGTATTGTTAAGCATGGACAGTAAGGTGTACAGAAGCTCTCTAGAATTTATTCATTTTGTGTAAATAAAGCTCTATACCTATTGTGCTAGTAGTCAGCTTTCCATCACTATAACAAATATCTGGGGGGGGGAATCAAATTTTAAGGAGGAAAGGTTTATTTTGGCTCATGGTTCCAGGGGTTTCAGGCCACAGGTGCTTGGTCTCATTGCCTTTGCGCTTGTGGCAAAGCAGCACATCAGGAATGGGAGTATTTGACTAAGGAGGCTGCCCACCACATGACATGTTTAGGGGCAGGGGCTCAATGTCTTCTTCAAGACCATAACCTCATTAACCTGACTCCCTTCCTCTGGGCTCCACCTCCTAAATGTCCCACCAGCTTCTAACAGCACGATGGGCTATGGACCAAGCCTTTAACACGTGAGCCTTTGGAAAACACTTGATACTCCAACAAAAGCATCCAATAGACAACAAATCCCTATTTCTTCCATCCCTAAATTCCTGGCAACCACCATTCTTTTCTTGGCTTTTATGAGTTGAATTATTTTAGATGCTTCATATAAAAGGGATCATGGGGTGTTTATCTGTCTGTGTGGGAGCTATTTCACCTAGCCAAAGGTCACAACTGGCAGGATTTCTTTCTTTTTAAAGGTCATATAATATGTCTTTGTATATACATGCCACATTTCCTTTATCCATTAATCCATCAATAGAATTTAGATTGTTTCCACATCTTGATTATTATGAATAACGCTGTAAATAATAGAATTTTGAAGAGATACCTCTTCAAGGCCCTGAAGTCAGACAGGGCTGACTTTCAGACAAATACCCAGAAATGGGGGATAGGTATAATGTAAGAGAGTAAGGACAGGATTCAAACCCAGGCCTACTTAAATCCATAGCAAATCCTTCGGCTTTTAAAAGTCCTTAGTGTTATCACTTCTTCTATTTATTGGTTCAGCTCTTGTCTGGTGTGATGCTTTTCCCTTCACAGAACATGTATTTTGAGAGAAGCATCTGGTGCCCATTAAGATGAATAGTCTATCCTGGCATGTAGGATTCAATGAATCACATCTCATCCATGGCTAGAAAAGAGATAAATATACTTTTAATTGAAAATTGTAGCCTGATTTAGGATGTTGAAAATGTTTTAATAGTAAACATTCACTTTTCAATTTTATAGTAAGCAACCAAAAATCAGAAATAGGTTAGCCGTGGCTTTGTGGCAGGCAGGGATGTGTGAACACAATATGTTTGGGCTCTAGAGAAGGACTAAGTCTTGAAATCTGGGGCTGGCTGATACCAGGGCTCAATAAATAAGTGAAAATATAGAGAAAGAAGCAGCAGGGCATGTTGGCAGACATGCAGAATTTGCCAAACATTTGTGGAGAGAAGAGAGAAAGGAAGATTTTAAAACCAATATTATACCTGGGTCCTGAACAGTAGATACAGGGGCTCTGTCCCGAGGCCAGGATGCCAAGCAGTTGTTGCTAACAAGAGATAAAAAGAGAATGGATTGGTTTGATACTTGGCATTAAGCACTTGGTACAGACAACACTAGTTTTTAGGTTTGGGGTGAGGCTGGCTCCATGGGTGAGAGCTCACTGATGGTGGGTAGCAGGAGAGCAATAAGAAGATGCAGAAGGAGCCATTATTTCAGAAGCTCTAGGGAGAGCAGTCCCATGACTTTTGTCATGTGATCTTAGACATCTTATTTAAAAAATTTCAGCCTTAGTTTATCAATCAGTAAAATAGAACAATAATAGCTATTGTGAAAATATTGTTAATAATGCATACCAAGTTTTTGGTACATTCCAGGTAAACCCTATATCATAGCTACTATGAATGGTCAAGGATATGGGGGGTAATTTTCCTGGAAGTGAAATGGGTAGAGCAAAAATTGAAGTTGGGCATCTATGTTAAAGGAACCGAGCTAAGCTTTGTACCCAGGTGAGTTTAAGTGTATCTCCTGGGCTGGATTCTGTACTTTAAGATTTTTCATTTGTAGTAGACTAGTCCTTGGTCTGTAGTCAATGGGATCTGGGTAGTAAGAGCTGCATACCCCAAAATTTAGGGGGATGGATGGATGGTATAAAAGAAATGTCAAGGGCTAAACTCTGGGAACAGAACTGTAGAGTTTTAGAGCTAAAAGGAACGTGCTATATTGCCATCATGGATACTTGAGGCCAGAGAAGGAAAAATGATTTACTCAAATTCACCCAGGTAGTCAATGGAAGAGGAAGAACTGCAAATTGGTCATTAACTCTCAATCTTCTAGTGGCCTTTCAGTTAGTACCAGTGATGTTGAAGCTATTTCAAGTTTTATAACAACAACAACAACAACAATAATAATAATGATAGCCTATAACAATAATAACAAATATTATTTTCACAATATTTATTGAATACTTATTATGAACCACTGTTGAAAGTACCTTATATTTATATTTCTTTAAATCCTCACAACTCTATGAGGTAGATACTAAATTATTTTCATTTATACCCATGATGCCTGGGGTGTGACTGTCATCCTGGGACTATAAGGGAGCAGAATGAAGATGAAAAGTGAACATGTTGAGATTGATGGAGCTAAAGTATAGAAGGAAACTGGGTCCTTCATACCATTTTTGAGCAGCTGAAGCAATACCAGCACTAGCCAATCTTCAACCTCCTTGTCAATGAAAGAAAGAAAAATCCTGTTTACAAAACAGTTTGATATTTTTAAAGTCAAAAAGTTAGATATTTTTAAACAAAATCAGTAAAAATTAGAGAAAGAGTGAGTAGCCAGAAGTTAGAAACTGATTAAAAAGGCACCGGAGAGCTAGTAGAAGAATCTGGAGAAGGCAGGCTGTTGAGTAGCTGGATTTCATGTTGAACTCTTTTGTTTCTGCAGCTCTAAACTGGAAGCCTCAAACAAGCCATTCCTTACTCATTCAGTTACCAGTGAAAAAGTCTGCAAGGTGAACGCTCTGAGCATTCTCTTTGGATTTTTCTGCAGTACACAGTGAAAGTTCTTCATTGTTGTGCCGAGAGTCAGATCCCAGCCTAATTTTCAGAAACTGGCTTTGGAAACCACTACTCTGTGCATAGCTCCCTGATTACACATGCCAGCCTATGTTAGAATCTGCTGTTATACACCTGTCACCTTCCGCAAGGTAATGTCCTAGAGGACCTGTGTCTAATCTGTGTTGGGAGACCCAGAGATTAGCATTGTGCATGGCATATGGATGACACTTAAATCATTAGGGTCCTGGTAGAAATCAGTTATAATTCAGTTTACTGAAATAACTCTTTACAAAGATGTGAGCAGGATGCAGGGAACTAGAAGGTAGGGTGGGCACCCTGAGTTAGTGACAGTAGGGAGCCATTATCATTTCAAGTCTGAAGGTGATCAGGGGAGGAGTTACTGTGAGTCCAAAACACAGACAGTGCCACTCTGTTCAGGCCTGCAGGCTGCCCTTAGCAACTTCTTAGGGAGGAAGTTGGGGAGTAAACTCTGCTCTCCACTCTGCTCTTGGTCTCCTCCCTCCTTTGATCTTTCAGTGGTGTTCCCTAATGACTGATTCTAACCGGATGGCAGGTGATAAGGATGCCTGCCCCACTGCTGCAGTCTATATAGTTCTATTTCCTGAAGGTCTGCACTGGATGGACCAGGATAAAGAATGTGTGTATAGGGGTAAAGGGAAGCTCTCCATCCTCCACTCAATAAATATCTGCTAAGTGAGTGTATCAGTCAGTGCTTACTAGAGAAACAGATTTAATGCAGGATACAGAAATATATAAGGATTTACAAGACAGGTATAAAGAGTCGGGTATGGAAGAGTGCAAAAGGGCTGTCTGCACACTGGAAATCTGAAGGATCCAGTCAAAGGTCAGAGGCCTGGAGTTCACTGTAGTGTCCTGTGTGAGTTCATATCAGGAAGCTGAAGGGTCTGTGCTGGAAGCCAGGAGATGATGTCCAAGGTGAACTAGAAGACTGGAGCTCCTCCAAAGGAAAAGAAGCAAGTCTTCCTTCTTCATTTCCCTTTCAGGTGACAAGCCTATTGGTTGGTGCCACTCACATTTATGATGAGTCTTCTGTCTTCAATAAATCCCTTCAGTCATACCCAGAACTATGCTGATTCAATTTAGTTGGGCATTTCTTATTCAAATTGACATAATCAGTTAACTATCACAGTGAGTGACTAGCATGTTCATAGAGCATGTTTCCCTGAGGCTGAGCCATATGCAGCACATGTTCTTCCCTCTCTATCTCTCTCTTTCTTCTATTTATCTCTTTCACTCATTCACTCATTCACTCACTCCCTATCTATTACTTACTGTGGAGCCTGTGCCAATTCATTGTGCTCAGCATCAGGATATAAGAACAATAAAACATCATTTTTAGAAAGATCACACTGGGGTAAGAACATGACAGTGTAGTGATAACTTTGGTCAGGGGCAAAGAAACATCTATTCTCTATGCTGCCCCAGACACCTTTCCCCGGGTTCTGAAGGAAATACATGTATAGTTAATGCAGTGATGCAAATCAAAGTGTTACTGTTGGCTGAGTTCAGGATGCTATGCAGAACTGTGTGAAGGAACTCTTCTTGCCTCACTAGCAAAGTCCAAGTAGCTTAAGCCAGAGCAGACTAAAGGCCTTTCCTTTCCACCCACAACTCTATCCCCAAACCTTGGACATTCCAAATAGAACAAAAGCTGCGATTACCTTCTCTCTACCCTCATGCTGAACCTGTTCCCTGCTTAAGGATTATTCTCTCTGTATAGATAAGGAGTTTTAGTGTCACCTCCAGGCCATCTTGTTTCTTCCCATACCAAAACTATTTGTAGGAAGAATAGAAGATTGTCTGTATTTAAGGTATAATGTCAGGAAAGATCTTCAAATCCTACCTATTAGACCTCCCTCACCTCTTAGCTGATACCTGAAGGTCCAGTTTCACTGTTTATTTCCTTGGGTTGGTTTTTTTTTTTTTTTTTTTTTTTTTTAAGGCAATGCCATCTAAGAAGAGGAGAAGTAGGTACTGAGAGATAAAAAGATGAGGATATGAGCAGTGAGGAGAGCCTTACGCCATAGCAATTTTCCCTGGACTTGGCCCTCCTTCTGGCCCGAATGAGATCATGTTAAGTTACCGTGCTGACTCAAGATTTCACCCTTGCCTCTCTCTTTTTTCCCTTTTTCTTCTTTGAAGTTCTATGACTTTAAACACAGCCATACATTGTGCAACTACCACTACAATCAAGATCTAGGCCAGGCACACCACCCCAAAACTCCCTTGCACTATATCTTTATAGTCACTCCCCCCTACCCTGCCACTGGGGACCACTGATCTGTTTCTGTCACTAGCATTTTGTCTCTTCAAAAGGACAAATAAATGGAATTATATAGTATATAATCTTTTGAGATTGGCTTCTTTCATTCAACATAATGCCTTTGCGACACATCCAAGTTAATGTATGTTAAACAATCTGGTTTTGATCTCTTTGTATTGGATTCCCCTTACTTAACAACACAATGCCCACCATCTAGAGACTAGATTATTGTACTCTCTGTTGTTCAACTTTTGTTAAAAGCCTGTGTTTTGGACAGGGTGATTTGTTTACAAGAAATACTCATTCAGCCTCACTGAAGAAAATGTGAGTTTATGGTACAGATTCAGGGCTGTCTTGGAAATCCAAAACCAAAATTCTCATTATATTAAGTTCTGGAAATGGGAAGTAGTTTTGGATCCAAGGCAGCCGTTGGGGACAGTGTGTGATCATACCTCTCTCTTAGTCTTTTACACTGTTTCTCTCCCTGTGTTTATGTGCTCTGTTCTTACTATTTTCCTGATTACATACAGTGTCTACTTCTCTCTTTTAAATTAATGTGGCTCAACTTTGCCCTCTGATTGATTGGCAGTGATCCTACTTCCAGCTTGGGCTTTCAGACTCAAATTCCTGGGAGCAGTCTGATTGGCTCAGCTCATCTTTCAAGCAGGCATCACAGGTTTCTGGCCATCTGATGGTCTCTGTATCAGTTAGGGTTCACTAGAGAAATGGATTTAATATAAAATATAAATATATGAGATATATATAAGATTCACAAGGTAGGTTTACAATGGCTACCTGGAGAGTCAGGAGTGGAAGAATGCAAAAGGGCTCTCTTTGTGCTCGAGGACAGGAGGATCCAGTCAAAGGTCAAAGAGCTCACTGCAGCGTTCCACGTGAGTCTGTACTAGGATGCTGAAGGGTCTGTGTTGGAAGACTGCAGCATCTGAGCTGGAAGCCTGGAAACAGATATCCAAAGATAATGGTGAAGACTGCAACTACTCTGAAGAAATAGAAGTGAGATTTTCTTCTTTGCCTTTTGATTCCATTTGGGCTACAAACCTATTGGTTGGTGCCAGACATACCCAGGGCGGGCCTTCCCTCTTCAGTAAGTCGATCATCCAGACACACCCAGAACTGGGCCGAATAAATTCACTAAGCATTTCTTGTTCGAATTGACACCACAATCAACCACCACACAGAACTTCCCTGTTCTAATCACCTGAGTCCAGTGCAGGTAGTCATGCCCTGATAAAATAGATGCCCTAAAAAGGGGAGAGTTGAGGGTAGAGTGGGCAATGGTTCACTGTTCTAGTATTTTCCACTAAGAAAATACTCTTTATGGGGGATTTTTGGAAGATCTATTTATTCTTCAGCTATTCTGTTCATTCTCTGATCAAACTAGATCTCAGGAAATGGGTATTTGGGTCATCTTTCTTGGCCTTCAGCAGATAGTTTTCACTGAGCTCTGTTCTGTTACCTGATGTCTCTTACTGCAGGAAATTATAATAAGAGCTCCATTCAAATTGTGACTTCATATTTTGTTGTAGAGGAAATTATCCATGTAGTCCTAACAGGAAGTTCCATGTGACAAATTGTTTTATGTATAAATTTAAGGACACACTATTTCCCCTGTTTCTCCCCCCCGCCACCCCGTTTCTCTTGTACAAAAAAGGCCAGATAATGTACCCAACCTCTGTGTTGGTAAAATTTCCAGAAAGCCAAGATTCAGCTATAGTAGCTTCCCAGCCTCTTATAATTTTCATATCTATGTTCTTGGCCTCATCTTGACATATTTGAAATTTGTCTTTAATTTTAAATGTACATTTGTTCCCTATAATCCATCTCATAATATTTTAAACAATAAATGGATATAAACAAACAAACAAATACAATGATGTTAGAGAGAACACTGGGCTATGGAGTCCGGTTCCTAAATCCAGGCTGCCATTTTGACTTGCCCCACTGGGACTCTTCCAATGATAAATATCTACTGAGCCAACAATGGCAGTAACAGACTTTTCAAGGTGAAGAAAATCTATCCTATTATGCAATATATGTTGAGACATATGGAGTACCAAGAATTTACTTCCATCATCTCATTTAATCTGTCCAACACTTGTAGGAAATAGATATTAAGAAAAGTTACTCAAAACTCACTAAGCATCTTCTTCCTCAGAGATACAGATAATGATACCTTCCCCTCTATGGCTGTTATAAAGGTTAAAGGAGATCTAACGTAGTATGTGACACAGTAACAACTCAAAAATATTAGCAATTCTTCCTGCTCTCCCAGATGTATTTTGTCAGTGGCCCCTTCTGTCATCTTTGGCAGACTTCTGTGCCTTACATATGATGTCTACGTTTCTTGGTTTTTTTTTCCATTTCTCATCATTTTTTCCTTTCCCTTCTTTCCTTTCCCCTGCCCCTCCCACTACCTCTACCCCTTTGGACCTTTTCTTCCTATTTTGCATTACCAATTATTCATTCTAATCATTGGTACATTTTAGGTATACAGTA